GCCTGCCACGAATTATGTACTTGACCTTGCGAAAGTGATGCGCCTGCCACGAATGTTGCACTTGACCTTGCGAAAGTGCTGCACCTGCCACGAAATCAGTACATGACCTTGTGAAAGTGCTGCGCCTGCCACGAAATCTGTGCTTGACCTTGCGAAAGTGCTGCGCCTGCCACAAAATCTTTACTTGACCTTGCGAAAGTGCCGCGCCTGCCACGAAATATGTAATTGACCTTGCGAAAGTGCTGAGCCTGCCACGAAATCTGCACCTGAGCAATCGAAAGTGCTGCGCCTGCCACGCAATTCAAACCTTGAGAAAAGTCGACCTTGCGAAAGTGCTGCGCCTACCACGAAATCTGCACCCGACCTCACCAAAATGGTGCGCCTGCCACGCAATTCAAACCTTGCGAAACCTCTGCGTTGCCGTGCCAATGGGCCCGGCGCCGACCCCGCTCCGAGCCCGCTCCGAGACCGCTCCGAGACCGCTCCGACCAGACGCCGCGGACAGGCTAGCTTTCGCATCTCCGGAGACGCCGATTCGCGCACAGGGCCACGCTTTTTGCGACTTTCTCATCTTCGAAAATGCCGATTCACGCACAGGGTCACGCTTTTTGCAGACTTTCTCTTCCCCTGCCACACGCGCGCGCATTTTTTCTCGCGGGCTTATTCCTTTTCTTGTCATTTGTCTCAGAGAGCTATAGCTTTCAATTAGTTGCCGTAACACGGAAGTTCCTTCTAAACTTCCTTTGATTACTACTAACACTACCACTACCACTACTACCACTACCATTCTTACCATTAACACCACCACTACCACTACTACAATTAATAGTATTTTTGTCTGTTGTGGCTGCTTTTTTGTGTTGCTAGAATGATTAATCCTGACACCATACATATCGCCATTGCCAATGCTACTGCTCCTGCTGCCACCACTGCTGCTACATCACTTACCTGTTGCTGCTGCTACTGCTTCTGCCACGACTACACGGCAGCGCCTGCCACTGTAGATTACAACTACCACTACGTGACCACCAGCAACTGCAAAAGCCATTATGACTGCAACCACTACCACTAATACAACGCAACTCTGAAACCACAAGCAACAACTAAGCGACATGGCTTTCAGGCTCACAGGTCCTGGCGCCGCTCTTTTCAAAGCGCGCCAGCGCGCCTTAAAATGGCAAACGCGACGGCAAGCAGGTGGGACGGTTCATGAACAGCTGCTGACTGTTTGCTGGGTTGAAAATAACAACACAGATCAAAACGCAACAACGCGCAACGACAACAAACAGCAAGCGAGCAAGCCAGCAAGCAAACCCGACAACAAGCAAGCCAAGCAAGCAAGCAAGCAAGCTAGAAAACAAGCGAACAAGCAAGCAAACAAACGAGCAAACAAGCAAGCGAGCAAACGTGCAACAAAATCTCGCCCAAGCCAACAAGATAGACACCGTTCACAACCCTTAGAACCAGAAGCACAGCAACCCCCGGCTGGCACCACACAAGCCAAAAAAGGTAACCAGCTCTAACAGGAGAGTGCAAACACAAGCACCATCGCAGCCAAGCAATACAACAGCACCGCAATGGCGCACGCTGCAAGGCACGCAAGCCAAACAAAGCGCAACCTTCCGGTCTTTGCGACTTGACCACGCCAAGCAGGAGGATGAGGGTCATCGGATGGCAGGCGTGGCGATGAACGCGAAAGTGCCGGGTGTGCTTGTTTGCTTGCTTGCCTGCCTGCTTGCCTGCCTGCTTGCTTGCCTGCCTGCCTACTTGCTTGCTTGCTTGCCTGCCTGCCTGCCTGCTTGCCTGCCTGCCTGCCTGCTTGCTTGCCTGCCTGTTTGCCTGCCTGCTTGCTTGCTTGCCTGCCTGCCTGCTTGCTTGCTTGCTTGCCTGCCTGCCTGCCTGCTTCCTTGCCTGCTTGCTTGCTTGTTTGTGGGCTTATGTGTCTTGTTCTTGTGTGTGTTTGTGCTCGCCGTGTTTGTGTCTGTGTTTGTACTTATGTGATTGTGTGTTTGCGTGTTTGTTTGTGCACCTGTGTGTGTGTGTTGCTGGTGTTGGTTATCTCTTTCTTGCTTCACTGGTTGTCGGTTTGCATTTTGCATGTGTGTTTTGTGATGTTGTTTGTATCTTTGATTGTTTGTTTGTGTTTGCTTGTTTAACTGCTTGCTTGCTTGGTTGTTTGTCTGTTTGATTGGTTCATTGTTGTGTGGTTGTTTGATTGTTTGCTTGTTTGTTTGCTTGCTTGCTTGTTTGTTTGTCTGTCTGCCTGGCTGCCTGTCTGCCTGTCTGTTAGCTTGCTTGCTTGCTTGTGTGCGCTTGTTGTTTCATTGATGGTGTGTTTGGTTGCCTGTCTATTTGTTTTGTGCCTTTGTGTTGTCCTTTGCCTTGATTTGATTTGTCTTGTGTTGCTTGTTTGTTTGTTTGTTTGCTTGTTCGTTTGTTTACGCAAAAGCAATGGGACAACCAAGGATAAGTCGCGGCTCGCGACGAAAGCATGGCATGGGAAAGGCGACATGCCAGCAAATGCCAACTGCCTGGCGGCATTAGCCTTCCGTGCTTTCGCATACCCATGGGGCCGCCAGATCCTGCATGGCAAAGGTGCGGCGAGAAGGGCAATGCGCCATGCCAGCAAATGCCAACTGCGTGATGGCATTAGCCTTCCATGGCTGCGCATAGCCATGGGGCCGCCAGATCCTGCATGGCAAAGCGGCGAGAAGGGCAATGCGACATGCCATCTGCCAGCAAATGCCAACTGCCTGATGGCAATAGCCTTCAGCGGTTGCGCATAGCCATGGGGCCGCCAGATCGTGCATGGCAAAGGTGCGGCGAGAAGGGCAATGTGGCATGCCAGCAAATGCCAACTGCGTGATGCATTAGCCTTCCATGGTTGCGCATAGCCATGGGGCCGCCAGATCCTGCATGGCAAAGGTGCGGCGAGAAGGGCAATGCGACATGCCAGCAAATGCCAACTGCCTGATGGCATTAGCCTTCCATGGTTGCGCATAGCCATGGGGCCCCCAGATCGTGCACTGCCTGATGGCATTAGCCTTCCGCGGTTGCGTATAGCCATGGGACCGCCAGATCGTGCATGGCAGGTGCGGCGAGAAGGGCAATGCGACATGCCAGCAAATGCCAACTGCCTGGTGGCATTATCATTAGCCTTCTGCGGTTGCGCATAGCCATGGGGCCCCCAGATCGTGCATGGCAAAGCGGCGAGAAGGGCAATGCGACATGCCGCAAATGCCAACTGCATGATGGCATTAGCTTTCCGCGGTTGCGACTAGCCATAGGGGCGCCAGACCGTGCATGGCAAAGCGGCGAGAAGGGCAATGCGGTATGCCGCAAATGCCTACTGCCTGATGGCATTATCCTTCCGCGGTTGCACATAGCCATGGGGGCACCAGATTGTGCATGGCAAAGATGCAGCGAGATGGGCATGGTGGCATTAGCCTTCTGCTGTTGCACAATTGCCATGGGGCAGCCAGATGGTGCATGGCAAGAGGGCGTGTGGCGACGTGCGACAAGAACAGGGCGCGGGCAATGCGACATGCCCGATCGTGCGTCGTGCATGGCAAGGGTGACACGTGGCGACGTGTGGCGACAGCCAAAGGCACACTTGACAACAATCAGCCCTACACCAACTTATGGCCTTCACAAAATCAGCCCTAAACGCATGGAGTATGCACACATCCCCCTAAACTTTTCCACTAACAGTAGCCGAGCAACTGGACAATGCTGGAGCTTCATTGTATCAAGGGACCCTTGCACAAAACCTGCGAACCATCCGCCAAAGAACCAAAAGAAAGTCAAGGTAGCTTTGGACGCGCATTGCGTGCGGCGAAGCCTCATTTTTGGTCTCTTGCCCGCCAGGCGGCGCGCTTTGGTCTATTGCTACGCATTTGGTGCAGTGTCTGTCAGGGGCCCACGGGCCGTCAGGGGCCAGAGAGCCCGGAAGTGAAAGCAAGCGGCCGGAGCCTGTTCTCTGAGCCCAACTGGCTCTCAACACGATGTGCCCGGTGAGAAAAGTCCTGCTGAGTTCGTGAACTTAACGTGGGCTTCACACATCCAAAGTCTACACTTCCATCACTCAGGCATCCCTAAGTTGTTCGGACATGGCTTGAGCTCGTTTTACCCAAAGATCGGTGAACTCACCATAAAGTAGGCTGACCAAGAACAACCCATGTGCATGTCCTTTCAAAGCTCAGTGGGAGAAACAAAAAACAAAAACAAAAAACGGAGAACAAGACAACTCCAATTCAGCCAGCGGAAGGGAAAATCGGATTCAGTGGAAAAACAAAACACGTTTTCAGGTGCTGGATAGTTTTGGTCTAAAAGCAACCCACAGCTGGGCTCTTATATCTAAAAGCAACCCACAGTGGCCATGAAATTCAATGGTTGGAACCCCCTGAAAGGTGGTTGGTGGACAGAAATCACCACCGAAGTCTGATGTCCACCGAAGGGTCCCTAAATCAAATTCATGCCCTTCGATCCCGCACTAGACACCTGGCACCCTTTGGCCTGTGGGAGCCAAACTAGCGGGAAAAGGTGGCGTTGCCTGAACAACTTCCTGTGACCAAACAAAACGGGAACTGCCACCTGCCCGAATGGAAAGGAACCCCGGATTCATAAACCCTGGTTGTCTTCGATTGGGGGGGAAGGGGTCCTTGGTTTAGCGGGGGATTGTAAGTTTCCGATTTGTAGGATGGGTTTTTGTTTATCCGGGGTCAACATTATTCAATTCCGACATTGGAACTCATCGAAAGCCTGAGTTCATGATCAGCAGGAACGCCCACTTTCTTCCAGGAACTGGGTGGTGAAAGCTCAGTGACAGTCTTTCACGGAGGTGTTCTTGTCACCATGGGATTCACCTCGGAATAGCGTGATTTAGAACAGAATCGATCCGAAAGCCTGCAGTCTATGCGTCAAACCAAAACCCAGCAGGACACTGAGATATCCACGGTAACTTCCTCGCAAAACTAGGTGAAAGAGTCAGCATCGCCGGCTCAATCCTCAGAATCAGCGTCGTCGTCATCGTCGTCATCCTTGGAGTCGCTGCTGGCTGCTGCCTTGGCTTCCTCAGCCTTCTTGTCATCCTCCTCCTTCTTCTTGGCCTTCTCAACTTCACTCAGCGCCTTCCACTTTGCCACAAACTTGTCCGCCTCAGCCACATCATCGGTGATGATGACGTTGTCAAAAATGGTGTTGCCCTTGACCTGCCACAAGTCGAAGCCGATGAAACCAAAGTCATCATACTTGTAGAGGCTGTCGTCATCAACATACTCAGGGTTGGCAATCTTCTTGGCCTCCCAGAAGCCCTTGTAGGCAGGGTTGGAAATGCGCTTAATGGTCCACTCACCCTTGTAGTCGGGGTTGTCAATCATGGGTGCCTCCCACTCGCCATCCTCCTCATCATCCCAGTCGTCTGGCTTCTTGGCGTTGGCATCCACGATTCGCTTCTCCTCCACCCAGCCGTCCGGCTTCTTGTCCTCAGGATCGTCCATCATGCTGTCATCGACCCAGTCGCTGGGCTTCTTGTCATCAGGATCCTTGATCTCCTTGGCGGCCAGCATCTCCCAGTCCTCCTTCAAGGAGCCTTCGTAGACCTGCTCCCCATCAATCTCCACCTTGGCAGTGTTGTCAGGCTTCAGGATCAGCCTGTACACGTGCGAGGTACCCTCACCCTCCTGCTTGTAAGGCAGGTCGGTCTTCTTCAGAACGTTCTTGCCCTTGTAGCTGAAGATCAGGTGAGTGCGCTTAGTGTAGCCGCACTTGTCCGGACCGAACATGACATTGTAAGGAGTGGGGTCGCCGAAGGTCTTGGGATCGTCGAGCTTGGGGCCTACCTTGACGTAGCCGCCGCCGCACTCGATGTCCTTCTCGTACTTGGCCTCTCATGTGCTTACAGGGAGGCGTCAAGTGCTCACAAAACTTAATTAAGTTTGTTCCAGACTCCTTTTCTGGGTCTTCCCGTCAGTTGGCCATCGCAACGACCCACAATTCAGCGTCCCAACTGGTGGCTTGGTTTGGGGTATCCAACCCAATCCAAACCACCAACCTGACAGGTGACCTGACAGGTGATCTTAAGCTGCCGAAACTGAAACCCCAATGTGGAAGCCAAACAGCCACTCAAAGAATCCAAGCTGAAGAGCCGTAAGCAAAATCAAACCCAGATCCGCGAAAAAGACATGAGCCATGCCGGTTGAAAACAGCTGGAAAGGCTCAGTAACCTCAACTGGCCCAGGAAAGCTCTAATTGGCTTGGCTCGTTTGCTCATTGAAAAATGGCGAACCCCTCATTGCTCAAATTGGCCAGAGCCCGAATGCGTGGGGAATCATCGCAACAATAAAAACGATCACCATCAGTCACAAGGATCTTGCGGATTGCTTTCGAACAGCCTCACCCAGGGCGAGAACTGAAGACAATTAAGCATAGGGTATCTCAACAGGAGGCGACCGGCATTTTCCTCTGAGCAGGTTTACGAGTTCCAATGAGCTGCTGTTACCTTGGAAGATCTACAAGAGGACTCCTGCATGAGCCACCTGGTTGTGTCTCAGATGTAAGATCCCTCTTCCTGGTTCTCAGTTGTTCAGTGACCCTGGAAAAAAGAATTGGAACCCTGTTTGGGGCTTGGACCATTTTTAGTGGGGCAGCCACCAAAAAAAAAGGAAAAAGGGTGCCACTGAACAACTGAGGGGTGTGTCTCAGTTTTAAGACCCCTCTTTTTTGCTGTCAACCTTCACTTGGTTGACGTTGGAAGGGGCGCAAAACATGATTTTTAGCAGCTAAGTTGGGATTTTAATCACTAAACCACAATAAGCAAAATGTAAAATGTTTCCCAACAACAACCCTGTTCAACCCTAAGCCTAGGACGTAAGTCTTTACTTTGTTGATAGTTGGCAAAGAGATGTCTGCGATGGTCCCGAACCTTGGCCCAGTTTTGTGGGCTGCGGGCTTTGCTCAAGGGACCCCCCCCCCCCGGCAACCCAAACCGCCGAATCACCTGCATTTGCTTAAGCCCCCAGTAAAGAATAAACATATATATATATATATATCCAATAGGAATAGATTCCCTTTAAAGCCAACAGGGGAAAATAACAAATATTCCTAAGCAAATGGAAGATCAGAACCGGAAAATCAAGCGGAGCCTGGTACTGGATGATCAGCTCCTTGCCCGCGTTGCTGAAGGAGTCGAAGCCCGCCGCCAGGCCGAAGAAGCGCGAGTCCTATCCAAGTCACCGGACCGGACGGACCAATGGGATAACTTAATCTCAAAGGCTGCATGTATTCGTCCATATGGCTGAACGAATCCCTAGATTTTTTATGGGTCAATTAATTGTTAGTTCTGGCTTGGCGAACCTACAAATGGGTACCAAAAACTTAGCTACCCGGAGGACCTGGACATACAAGGTTCACCTTTGGGGTCATGTATGGAAATTGCCCAAAACAATCAAACCAAAAAGGTCACAAGGTCGGCTTTGGGCAACTGAGTATGTGGAAAACTCCTTGAGTCATGGCCCTCATCTTTCCAGGGAACGCAAGGTCATGTCAGGTGGATTCGCTCGCTGAGCACCTCTTGGTTGACGTTGGAAGGGGAGCACAAAATTGAATGTTCGCAATTAAGTGGGGATTTCAACCACTCAACGACAAAAAGCAAAAAGTAAAAATGTTTCCCAACAACACCCATGACCTTTCAGCCTCCGTCTCGTCTTCTGGGAACTCCCTTTGGGCCAAAGCTCTCGCGCGCGCGCCGTCCTCCGCGGTCTGGACACCCTTGTCCTCCGCCTCGTTGCCTGTGGCTTCCGGAGGAGAACAAGACGGAGCTTCGCAAGAAATGCCTCCTGCCCCAACAAACCAGCAGACTTCTGGCAGGTTCATGGAAATCTCAGGCAAAGAACCTGCCAAGACAACAAGACTTCTCTGCAGGCAGGTTCCAAGAAGCAGCAGATTTGCAGGTTGTGGGACACCTCCCAAAACAACTGGACACTTTCTGCAGGTTCATGGAAACATCATCATTGTCCCCAAAGTCGAAGGTCCTCGAGCTTCATTAGTCAGAGTATCACCTCACACCTTGGAGAAACTGCAAACAACACAATCACGCAAGAAGCGTCTGAGTGGTCATGTTGCGGATCAGGAGGAAGGCATAGAAATGTGAAATGTGTATGTGCCGAGTCAATTGTCTTGTTGTTTTCTTCCTCTGAGGGCACTAAAGAGATCTGAAAAGGTAAGTGCGTTGTTATCTGCTAGCACGCCACGTTGAATTTCGCGTCACCTGTCAGCAAGCCAATGTGGAAATCGGATTAACCTGAGAAGGTCCTTACTGGCAGAAGAACCTTCTCAAGTAGAAGTTTTCCGTAGTAACCGGCAAGCCACCCCTGATGAGTGCCGGAGCAAATTTTACAATTCGTGCTTCAGGATATACAGCAGCTGGTCCCAGGTAGCACGAATGGGTGAGCTCTTGAGAAGTGGATGTTCACATCCGATTCATCCGATAGGTACCCCAAAAAGTGGGTCAGGTAGGGCACATGTCTTTGAATGCGGGCGCGCGTGAAAATCGGGATTTGGAGCTCCGAAATCGATGTCGGTGGTGCTGTTCGTCTCCCTTGCCCGCCTAACAAGGGTAGCTTCTTCCCTCCCCTCCCTCCTCCCTCTAGCCCCTCCTCCTCCCCTCCACGCCTCAACGACACACGACACACACACACACAAACCAACCAACCAAACAAACAAGCAAGCAAGCAAGCAAGCAAACAAACAAATAAACAAACAAACAAGCAATTAGCAAGAAAGCAAGCATGTCTGAGGGACACCTGGCTCTCAAGTCGGGCGACTGCGATTCCGGGGCCGAGACCAAACCACTTGCCGGCGGATAGCTGCCAGGTGCCCTGACGCGAAGCCACAAACAAAAATGTCCCCTACAATTTGCCATCCTATTTTTGAGGGGTCCAGGACCGAAAAGGAGACTCCACTAAAACTCATTGCTTTCCCGGGCTCCATGTTACTCTGAAAAGTAATGTTCAGAGTCTGGTCAGAAATCGCACCAGGCGGGAATTTCCTTAGTTCCCTTTGGTTTACCTTTCCAGGGTCCCTCAAAAAAGAAACACCTATGTCACAGCAAGGCACGGTAAAATTTGACCCGGCAAAGCTCCGGAAGCGACCTGTGCTCCAAGAGAACCAAGGAAACATTCTTCAACATGCACGTGCCCGTGACCTGAAGCTGTCTGCTCGAGTTCCTTTCGGCCCCTTGCCGACTTGTTACGAAAACATCTTGCAGTTGATGTGGCGAGTCGGTGTCTCCTTAGGGATCCTGTGCGGGGTTGTGTTGAAGGGAAGCAAGACATGATCTTTGGGAGAGATCCAGGCGTCCGATTGCTCGCCATAGACCCCAATTCACTGTTTGTTGGTAAGGCAACGCATAGGAAACGAAGAACAAAACGGCAGTCGAACTCTGGCAGTCGAACTCGGTGGCCTTTTGGAAACATCCAAAACCTTGCCCGCCCCTGGTTCAGATGGGGCACAAACCTCATCTAAAACCAGTGGCTCGCCCATCTACTTTTTAACCAAACGAACCGATCAAAAGGACACCGATCTGCTGGCAGTCCTGGTGTTTCTGACAGGCTTCTGGAGAGTCCGTCTCCCAGAAGCGCCAGAAGCAGTGACTGAATAAGGGAATCTCCCCCTCACCCCTGGGTTTAACTCGACTCCATTTGGGCCCGTCGGTGTTGGAGTTGGTACCCCTTTTTGATTGAAACTGGAAGCCAAAAGGAAAACCGAAGCCATTTGAGGGGTTCCCTAAACTCATATCCGAGCAACAGCCCCCAAGCTGCTTGTAGTTTCCTCGAAAATGGTGGAAACCCAAAAAGCGACTATCGTCCGACACGGAACTCAGAAATTGGTAATAAAAAGATATTTCTTTGAGCACGGACACATCCATTGTCAGCTAATCATTAATTGGCGGTTTGGATTGGTGGTTTGGATGGATTTCAGCCTCTGGTTCTTAACAGAGGGCACATGGGGAAGCCCACCCAACCACCAAACCACCGAACCACCGAACCCCCTTCGCCTGGGTACCGTCGCTCTTCTTCCACTCGCTGGGGGTCCTGGCAGCCCAATCCCCACTCATTTAAGCCAAACCATCCTTGGGTCACCTGAATGGAACCCAAGCACATGACATCTGCAATTACAACACCAGATGTGTGCTTCAAGAAACATAATCACTTCCCCCTATTCATAAAGGTCTCCCTAATAATAAATATTTGTTTCGGAAGTCCCAAATCCGGGAATCCTACTTTTAGAATAGCCAATACTAAACCAATTCTAAAGTATATATTTTCCTGCCCGTACTCAAATCCAGCCCCATTAGGGGGACCCCGGGGGCACGTTTCCTTTAATTACTACGGCTGTACTACAAAGTTGCGACTTTCAGGCCAGAGCTCCGGGAGCACGTTTCCTTTACTACGGCTGTACTACAAAGTTGCTGTACCCAAAACCCACAACCAAAAACAACAAAACGTGACCTCAACTCCCGCTACTTAAATTCCTTACTCAGAAATGTGCGTTTGAAGCGATTTTACGGAACGGAACAGGGGGACCACAGTTGCAAACAAGCCTACACAGAACAAGAAGTACCTCCAAAACCTGCCCTCCAGAACCAGGGGACCCCTAATAATAAAAATTGTTTTGCAGGCCGGGTATTTTTTTTATTAGGGGGGGGGGGGGGGCGTCGTTTATTATTAGGGGGAAGGGATGTTATTTCCACGAGCCATCGATTCCCTTGAACACCAACGAAGAAAAATGCACCAATATTCTTACTCATTTCCTGAGTGGCGCCAACATGGTCCAAACCCCAAAAGGGACAGTCAAGTCCGAAACGGAACTCAGGGAGTAAGGCCATATCAAGCAACCCTTTGGGGTTACCTGAGTGGATACCCCATGGGATTTGTCTTGAGTGGATCCCCCAACATGGTGGTGTTCCTTTTAGTTCCTCTGAAAAATCGAGGCCCTGTCCAAGGCCCGGACGAATTGGATCCATGCAAGGAGCGAAACCCGACACTTGGTTCCAGAACACGTTTGAAGTTCAGAAAAGGGCTTACGCTTAACACCGTGAAACAAGGCACCACCTGCTAAAATGTCCAATGAGAGTCTTGGGCATTGCTCAAATGGGAAACCGCCGCCTGAAGAGATGCGTCCCCTGGGCAAAATAAACACGTATATCCAGTACGTAGTGATGCATTCCCCCTTAACAAGCAATAAAGAAAAATGACAAACAAATAACACTTAAAACCACAACATAAGCGAATGGAAGCTTGGGGCTCCGTGCTATGGAACTAAAATTCGGGGCATGTTGACCCCGGGGGGGGGTTCTACTTCCTTCATGGCTTTCGGAATGCTAATGGGTTTGCATCTTAGAATTTGTTTGGGTTTGGACCTCCCAAAATGAGTGGTTTCCCTTTGACCTGAAATAGAAGGTGCTACATGAATATGTGTCAGAATACAAAGGTCCTTAGAATGGTGGCGTTTATTTTGGCTTCCCTTCAAACTAACCTGAAAACACCGAGCCTCAAAAAGACGCACGCACATGTGCGGAAGGATCATGCCACAACATCTTGGGCAATGGAAGAACGCATGCAAGAAAACCATATCTGAGCGGTGCCGAAAAAAACCATCGGCGTTTGGTTCCACTTAGATGGACATACAAAAAATCACAGCGGCATTGTGCAAAACACAAGCAACGCGTTTGGTTCTGCTTAGATGGACATAAAAAATCACAGCGGCATTGTGCAAAACACAAGCAACGCGTTTGGTTCTGCTTAGATGGACATACAAAAAATCACAGCGGCATTGTGCAAAACACAAGCAACGCGTTTGGTTCTGCTTAGATGGACATACAAAAAATCACAGCGGCATTGTGCAAAACACAAGCAACGCGTTTGGTTCTGCTTAGATGGACATACAAAAAATCACAGCGGCATTGTGCAAAACACAAGCAACGCGTTTGGTTCTGCTTAGATGGACATACAAAAAATCACAGCGGCATTGTGCAAAACACAAGCAACGCGTTTGGTTCTGCTTAGATGGACATACAAAAAATCACAGCGGCATTGTGCAAAACACAAGCAACGCGTTTGGTTCTGCTTAGATGGACATACAAAAAAATCACAGCGGCATTGTGCAAAACACAAGCAACGCGTTTGGTTCTGCTTAGATGGACATACGAAAAATCACAGCGGCATTGTGCAAAACACAAGCAACGCGTTTGGTTCTGCTTAGATGGACATAAAACAAATCACAGCGGCATTGTGCAAAACACAAGCAACGCGTTTGGTTCTGCTTAGATGGACATAAAAAAAAAGTTTAAAAAAAACAACAGCGACATTGTGCAAAACACAAGCAACGCGTTTGGTTCTGCTTAGATGGACACAATTAAAAAAAAAAAAAATCACATCGGCATTGTGCAAAACACAAGCAACGCGTTTGGTTCTGCTTAGATGGACATACAAAAAAACACAGCGGCATTGTGCAAAACACAAGCAACGCGTTTGGTTCTGCTTAGATGGACATACGAAAAATCACAGCGGCATTGTGCAAAACACAAGCAACGCGTTTGGTTCTGCTTAGATGGACATAAAACAAATCACAGCGGCATTGTGCAAAACACAAGCAACGCGTTTGGTTCTGCTTAGACGGATATATCTGCGCTCGTCTGAGCATCTTGCACCGTCTGGGCTCGCAACCCCGAATCTGGCCACGGCCATGGGTCTTTTACAGTCGGGCCACTGCACAAGAATCGATCGAATCAGAATTTGAGACTCTGGGCATCTCGGAATTTCACCTTCCCCAAAACCATGCGATTCAGCCCTCAAAAAGGCTACGCCGAAAAACTGGGTTGACCTTGCAAGGAGAGCAACACATAACTTTAGCAGTTCAGTGGATTTGGATTTCAACCATTCAACCACAATATGCAAAAATTGGGAAACATGTTTCCCAACAACAACCATGAGGTCGCCAAACAAAGGACCCTCCAAAGGGCAGCAACACCCGGATGCCCCAGTGAAAGGGGCACCGAGGTGTCGGACACCCCAACAAACAACTCCGACTTGAAAATACCCCAAAACTTCCCCTGCTTGAGAATATATGGCTGTGGGTCAAAACCCAAATCGGTTAGCCCCAGTGAACATCCCAATCGGCAGTAAAAAAAATGTCTACAATGGGTGGTGAATTCACCTACGAACCAAAATGGTAGCATCGGGTTTGACCCACAGCCATATGTCTTATTCTCCCCTCTTGGTTTGATGGAACGTTTTGTTTGTTCCAGTGGAGGGATACTTCTGACAAGAGAACCACGCCATCAGGCGACATCCGCTCCAGCGGCTCTCCCAGCCGTCGCCGAAGGTCTCGGAGAAGTAGACCTTGCCTAGCAAAGACTCGGTGAACTTTTCAAACGAAAAAGCCGTGGGCTTTGAACAAATTCAAAAGGTGCCAAACTAGAAAGGGCCTAGGAATTTGTTCAGTGACCCTGGAAACAAAAGAATTGGAACCCTTCTTGGGGCTACCATTTTTAGTGGGGCAGCCACCCAAAAAAAAGCTGGAAAAAGAAAAAGGGTGCCACTGAACAACTGAGCTGTAGGAATTTCCGCGGCTTTGCCAAATTGGAATTCAAAATATACTTGGTTGACGTTGGAAGGGGAGCAAACAAATAGAATTTTTAGCAGTTAAGTGGATTTGGATTTCAACCACTAAACCACAATAAGCCAAAATGTACAAAGTTTCCCAAAGACAACCAAGTATATGTCTGGAGGCTTCCACACTAGTTCGCCTTCCTTTTAAATGGGGGTTGCACCTTGTCGCATCGTACTGGGTATTTCTTCAAGCCCTTTTGGTTCAAATGGGAAAGCCCGGAAAACCCACGCTAGACTGTTTCTCTGTTGATCTCTTAGCAACATGTCTCCGGACCTTTTCTCTGCCCGGTAACTGTGAAGGGCACCAGCAGTCCTTTCTGGTTTCTAGCTGCACCTAACATCTTGGTTCATCTTGGTTCGAGGGAATAGGGGTCCACATCGCTCGAGTGACTCAAGCCGCTAATTTAAAGTCAACACATATGTGTGTCAAGAAGACAGAAGGGTACGTCCTGGGCCCTGGTTTTTGCACCCAAGCGCATTTCTGTCTTTGTTCGAGGGCGGCAAAAGAGATTTCCCAAGCTCTCTTGCCTTGAAGTGGTCTTACATAAGACTTTCTGGAAAGGGAAAGGACAATGAAAACATGTTTGGGGGTTGCACTCATTTGGGTCTGCCTTCTTTGAGGCTCGGCACCCTTTTTTCGGCTTTCGCAGGAACCAACAAGGAAACCATTGCTTCCTTTGGGGGGGGGGGGCGGCAATCCCCTAAAAATAGACACAGCCACCAGGAATCTGGAGAGAGAGGCGAATTCACCACATCGCAGGTCTTTCCCATTCCTTGGTGTCCGTGGGTCCAAAATCGAGCCGAAAAGGGGCGTTGCCGCCTATCTCTTCCCTGAGAACCTGATGTAGGAGGGAAGAGGAAGGTATAAGATAGGAAAGGTAAAGGAAAGATATGATAGAGATGAAATGACATGATTGAGATAGAGGATTGGGAATCATGTCCTTATTCCTTGCCTCCTCACTCATCCCATATCTACTTGTTTCCCATTATGTTTTCATTACAAGGAAGCAGCGAAACCCCTCCCCCCTCCCCCAAAAAAAACATGAACAAGGAAGCACACAATAACGTTAGCCCCCCCCCACCCCCCGCTGAACTCGAATCGGAGGCGCCGCTGGCGCTGGTGACCGCACCGAGGAGAAGGACTCTGTGCATGGCGACCTGTCGATCGAGATGGGCGACGGCCTGTAGCGCAAACCCACCTCAAAACCCGCCCAAAACCCACAAACCCACCCAAAACCCACAAACCCACCCAAAACCCGCCCACCCAAAACCCACAAACCCACCCAAAAACTCACAAATTCGACCAAAACTCACCTTGGCCGGTTCAGGACGTTCACTGACTCAGAGCAAGGATCCACAGGAAGCTTGTAATGCTGAATGCTTGTGGCCCCCAGTCACCGTTGGGCTGCAACGGAATCACTAAAGTACTAATTCATCTGGCTTTAACACGGCTTTCGCCTTCCCTTTCACTAGAGAATCGTGGGAATAGCCGCTAGAAACCATCCCTTGTACCATAGGGCCCGAGGTTCATTCACAGCCTTGAACCTCCCCGAGAAGCAGCAAGTTGAAACAAAACCGTCGCCCACGTTGGAATGGCCAACCTTTATGGTCGCAACAAGAATGAGCTACTTTTTGCAGCCACTGAAGATGAACAGAGCAAACCCGAATAAATAGCAAATGTCGACAGTGAAGTGGGCGTTCCTCCCGTGTCAGGGAGAAGATGAAAGCATCGGCGTCCTCGGAAACTGGATGGTGGCCGTTTTTTTTTTTTTTTTTTTTTTTTTTAAATAATAATAATAATAAAAACACTATCTAAACCAGTAGAGCCATTTCCCGCCAAACTATCTGATCAAAGGTGCAACATGATTTTGAGGCCCATATCAATATCCCTGGCCCTCAAAAGACCATGGGTAGCTTTGTTTATTCAGTGGGGAAGTCATCTGTTTGGTGGTTTCTACTACTGGTCGTGCCATGCAAAGATCTAACAACCCCGAAATGATGAGATCCCGACGGGTAAAATTCCCAGACTCCTGGGACTGCTTTCCTTGATACCAAGGCTTCCCCGTCACTGTTGGGAGTTGCTACTGGGTTGCCAGAGCTAATGGGTTGCCAGAGGTCAAACTTATCTGCCGCATGAGTTGGATGCCCGAGAAATCGACCTAAGGAATTAGTTTGGAAATAACAACAATCTGAAGTAAGAACAAATCGGAAACCACAGGAAGCTAGGACGGGATACAACAATTCCACCAATCTGAAGAAAGACCTGGATCCCCACGGAAATCTTTAATAGAAGTGTGATCGCAAAACGCGATTCGGCCAAGTTGAAAAGACGATACTGCCCTGGGTGTTGGTTGTTCACAGGATCCCCCCTAAGCCGGCGCGCAAGTTAGCGAGGGGTTGGTTACCAAAGCTATCTGCTACTAAAACTGTTCATTGGGAAAGAAGCTACGTATACCTGTCGTTTCTAAGACAAGACCCCATATATATTCATGCTACTGAGCATCTACCAGTCACCCAAAAACAGGCGAGCTGAGGTTGGCCAACTCTGAGTTTGGATATGGACGTGTACCATGCTAGGGGTATCTTCCATTTCCATTCTTTCCAGGGATCCTTCTTTCTAGAAAACCTCCGGAAACCCAGGGAAAACAGATCCGGTTGTTGGAAAGAACGATGGAACCATGGCCCAAGGCCCAAACCCTCTGCCATCTCACCTCGGAACCCAATGGCCATGGAGAAATAGGCGGTCACCCTCGCTTCGTTGATTGACTCCCTTGCTTGGTTGACGGTGGAAGGGGAGCAAAAAAAAAAATTAGCAGTTAAGTGGGAATTTCCCACTAAACCACAACAAGCAAAATGCTTCCCAACAACAACCACGAATAGGGAAACTCTTCCCCAAAAGGAACACGCGCAAAACCAACGCACGAGGCAACTCCCTCCCCCCAAAAAAGAGGGGGTGAACTTGCTGAACTTGGTTTTAAGAAGCTGAGCAACAAGTTGGCATTCACCGCCTTTCCGCCCATCTGTCACATAGAACTCTTGCATATAGGTCTTTGGGGAAAATTCACACTCACACGAGGCTATGTTAACAAAAGAAAAAACGGGAAGTTGAAAGCCGGAAATTCTTTGACCCACCTGCAGTCTTCATAACCCTTAAGCAGTCAGAACAGCCCTTCAACCTGCCTAAAGCTCACAATTCCTTCATTCGGGGTTGAACTTGCTACATTTCATGCCTTTCAAATACCCACCCCCGGTGAGGGGACGCTCTCCAAACAATTGGGTCATCACCAAAAAAAAGGGGCTCGCCCCATGCTTCAAGGGGCATGGAGACTCCAGGCACATGGTCTTTCCCTTGGCCCCCATGAGTGCGCCACCTGTAGGCTGGCGGTATTTTGCCAGAGGGGATAAGCGAATGCTGTAAGCAGCGGCGAGAGGCTCAGTGTCCAAAAGACAGTTTCCTGCAGAGGGACAGTGTTTATGTTCAGGATACCTGCCAAAAACGATTGGAACAAATTGGGCGCATCTGCCAGTATTTTGAAAAAGAAAGTGAGAAGCAACAACAAAAATAGTCCACAAACAATTGGTTGACAAACTCTGAATTTTGCTTTGGGCTTCGCACACATGCCACCGGAACTTCCTTTTGACCAATGACTGACAGGGGTCAATGACTGCATGGACTTGACTCTTGCTGATGCGATAAAATGCAGGGAATGAGACGTGGAACGGCCCCAAAAAAGAACCAGCCCCCAATTTGATTCCTTTCTCGGAATCCCCTGGTTCATTCCCAACACCCTGACACCCTGGGTTACGCTCAAAGGCTTGCAAGACATTTCCCTCCCACCAATTCACAGCCGGAACCGGACGTTCAGGACGCGGTCCCTTTAGGACAATGCTGCAAACCAGGACCGATTCCCCGAAACTATGGGTGTGTCGTTTCTTAGGGGACTCGCAAAATGGTGAGATTTCCTTTCGGTTTCCACTCCAAAAAGATGGGGCGAAAGCATCTGCCAGAAGCTAGAGGTCGGTTTCCCCGATAAAGCTTAACTTCCTGATGATTCTCAGCTAAAGCCAACCCTTGGGTCATTCTATGGTCATTAATCTCTCCAATCTCGGCTGCTCGCACTCAACCGCTGACATTTTCACCAGAAGTATGGAAAGGAACCTGGCATGAGTCCGGGACTGCAAGCAAGTGAACCTCGACCGACAATTGTCGCCGTCATTTTTTATGCCTTTGGCCTTTCAACTCACAAGCTGGGCATATCCAACACATTGCCCCAAAGCACGAAGCATCTTTTGGGGTGCCGATGTTTGGGGACCACTGCGCCCTTCTCAACCACGAGAGCCCTCATCTCAAGAGACTCCCATTAGACTAGGTCCTCCAGTAGAGAGGTTAGAGTAAGGGTACCAACTTTTTTCTAGTCTATTTTAGTACGGAACCCTCCCCAAAACAAAGAAACACTAAAAGGGCTCCTAGCTGGGGGACCTAGTAGAGAATCTGCACGGCTGCGGATCTGCAGTTGTCCCAGATGTCACAAAGCTTCAGGTCCAGGTTTGATGGTAAGCCCTGCCCAAATACTCGGTTGCAGGTTGGGAGAGCAATATGATGTGCGAAAAAAGTTCAAGACATTAAAGATTCACTAGCATCCGGACCCCTATGTTGACAAGCTTCAAGTGCTTCCACAAAATGACCCGAAAGTGGTGGTTTAAAGTAACAACCCTCAAAATGCAACCGGGCAAAGGCTGGCGCGTTTCACTACTGCGCAAAGCAGCGAGTGAGGTCTGTTCTGGTCTCTCCAGGTACCGTCTCTGCTTGGACGGCCTGTCGCCTGTCGCTGTGGCGCCAGCCATGCGCCGCTGCGGGGGGCCGCGGCTGACATGACGAATGCGCGAGACCCGGCGTTGAAGGCTTCAGCCTTACGTAATCTGGGTGAGATGTCGGCTCAAGGTTGCTGGTCCGAGCCATGAGTAGCATGGAAAAAGAAGAACAAACCAAGTTGCATCAACTTCAGTGTTCCTGACAAACCAGTTGATGCACTGAACTACGGTGCGAAGCCGATTCTTGGCAACCTATCGGAGCCTGAGACTAATTTCCCCGCAAAACTAGAAAGAGCCAGCATGAGAGCTGCTGGCTCAATCCTCAGAATCAGCATCGTCGTCATCGTCGTCATCCTTGGAGTCGCTGCTGGCTGCTGCCTTGGCTTCCTCAGCCTTCTTGTCATCCTCCTCCTTCTTCTTGGCCTTCTCAACTTCACTCAGCGCCTTCCACTTTGCCACAAACTTGTCCGCCTCAGCCACATCATCGGTGATGATGACGTTGTCAAAAATGGTGTTGCCCTTGACCTGCCACAAGTCGAAGCCGATGAAACCAAAGTCATCATACTTGTAGAGGCTGTCGTCATCAACATACTCAGGGTTGGCAATCTTCTTGGCCTCCCAGAAGCCCTTGTAGGCAGGGTTGGAAATGCGCTTAATGGTCCACTCACCCTTGTAGTCGGGGTTGTCAATCATGGGTGCCTCCCACTCGCCATCCTCCTCATCATCCCAGTCGTCTGGCTTCTTGGCGTTGGCATCCACGATTCGCTTCTCCTCCACCCAGCCGTCCGGCTTCTTGTCCTCAGGATCGTCCATCATGCTGTCATCGACCCAGTCGCTGGGCTTCTTGTCATCAGGATCCTTGATCTCCTTGGCGGCCAGCATCTCCCAGTCCTCCTTCAAGGAGCCTTCGTAGACCTGCTCCCCATCAATCTCCACCTTGGCAGTGTTGTCAGGCTTCAGGATCAGCCTGTACACGTGCGAGGTACCCTCACCCTCCTGCTTATAAGGCAGGTCGGTCTTCTTCAGAACGTTCTTGCCCTTGTAGCTGAAGATCAGGTGAGTGCGCTTAGTGTAGCCGCACTTGTCCGGACCGAACATGACATTGTAAGGAGTGGGGTCGCCGAAGGTCTTGGGGTCGTCGAGCTTGGGGCCTACCTTGACGTAGCCGCCGCCGCACTCGATGTCCTTCTCGTACTTCGCCTATGCACTGCTTCTTACACCAGGAGTCTGGACAAGTTGAACATGACTCATGCCTTGTTGGCTGGGTCCTCCAGTAGCGAGATTTGAATAAGGGTACCCGGGTACCCTTTTTTCTGCAGTCTACTTTAGTAGCGGAACCCTCCCCTCAAAAAGAAACGGTTAAAGGGCACCTAGCTGCAGGACCTTGTTGGCTTTCCCTTGGGTAACTCAGCACTTCAGGGCTCTTCAGCCTCGCCCACTACCTCAAACCGGCCCTCCGCTGGGCCTGGTACTGGATGATCAGCTCCTTGCCCGCGTTGCTGAAGGAGTCGAAGCCCGCCGCCAGGCCGAAGAAGCGCGAGTCCTGTGGCAGAGCCCGGGGAGTCGAACGAACCCACGTGGAGAATTAGGTGTCCCTTTTGGGCAAAACCGATGGCCCTGGTAGTTGAGTAGTTGATTAGGTGTCCCTTTTGGGCAAAATCGATGGCCCTGGTAGTTGAGTAGTTGATTAGGTGTCCCTTTTGGGCAAAACCGATGGCCCTGGTAGTTGAGTAGTTGATTAGGTGTCCCTTTTGGGCAAAATCGATGGCCCTGGTAGTTGAGTAGTTGATTAGGTGTCCCTTTTGGGCAAAACCGATGGGCCTGGTAGTTGAGTAGTTGATTAGGTGTCCCTTTTGGGCAAAACCGATGGGCCTGGTAGTTGAGTAGTTGATTAGGTGTCCCTTTTGGGCAAAACCGATGGCCCTGGTAGTTGAGTAGTTGATTAGGTGTCCCTTTTGGGCAAAACCGATGGCCCTGGTAGTTGAGTAGTTGATTAGGTGTCCCTTTTGGGCAAAATCGATGGCCTGGTAGTTGAGTAGTTGATTAGGTGTCCCTTTTGGGCAAAACCGATGGCCCTGGTAGTTGAGTAGTTGATTAGGTGTCCCTTTTGGGCAAAATCGATGGCCCTGGTAGTTGAGTAGTTGATTAGGTGTCCCTTTTGGGCAAAACCGATGGCCCTGGTAGTTGAGTAGTTGATTAGGTGTCCCTTTTGGGCAAAACCGATGGCCCTGGTAGTTGAGTAGTTGATTAGGTGTCCCTTTTGGGCAAAACCGATGGCCCTGGTAGTTGAGTAGTTGATTAGGTGTCCCTTTTGGGCAAAACCGATGGCCCTGGTAGTTGAGTAGTTGATTAGGTGTCCCTTTTTGGGCAAAATCAATGGCCCTGGTAGTTGAGTAGTTGATTAAGTGTCCCTTTTGGGCAAAATCGATGGCCCTGCTAGTTGAGTAGTTGATTAGGTGTCCCTTTTGGGCAAAATCAATGGCCCTGGTAGTTGAGTAGTTGATTAGGTGTCCCTTTTGGGCAAAAATTGTAGTTTAGGTGTCCCTTTTGGGCAAAATCGAGGTGTCCCTTTTGGGCCTGGTAGTTGAGTAGTTGATTAGGTGTCCCTTTTGGGCAAAACCGATGGGCCTGGTAGTTGAGTAGTTGATTAGGTGTCCCTTTTGGGCAAAACCGATGGGCCTGGTAGTTGAGTAGTTGATTAGGTGTCCCTTTTGGGCAAAACCGATGGCCCTGGTAGTTGAGTAGTTGATTAGGTGTCCCTTTTGGGCAAAATCAATGGCCCTGGTAGTTGAGTAGTTGATTAGGTGTCCCTTTTGGGCAAAATCAATGGCCCTGGTAGTTGAGTAGTTGATTAGGTGTCCCTTTTGGGCAAAACCGATGGCCCTGGTAGTTGAGTAGTTGATTAGGTGTCCCTTTTGGGCAAAACCGATGGCCCTAGGTGTAGTTGAGTAGTTGATTAGGTGTCCCTTTGGGCAAAATCAATGGCCCTGGTAGTTGAGTAGTTGATTAGGTGTCCCTTTTGGGCAAAATCAATGGCCCTGGTAGTTGAGTAGTTGATTAGGTGTCCCTTTTGGGCAAAATCAATGGCCCTGGTAGTTGAGTAGTTGATTAGGTGTCCCTTTTGGGCAAAATCGATGGCCCTGGTAGTTGAGTAGTTGATTAGGTGTCCCTTTTGGGCAAAATCAATGGCCCTGGTAGTTGAGTAGTTGATTAGGTGTCCCTTTTGGGCAAAATCGATGGCCCTGGTAGTTGAGTAGTTGATTAGGTGTCCCTTTTGGGGCAAAATCGATGGCCCTGGTAGTTGAGTAGTTGATTAGGTGTCCCTTTTGGGCAAAATCAATGGCCCTGGTAGTTGAGTAGTTGATTAGGTGTCCCTTTTGGGCAAAATCGATGGCCCTGGTAGTTGAGTAGTTGATTAGGTGTCCCTTTTGGGCAAAATCAATGGCCCTGGTAGTTGAGTAGTTGATTAGGTGTCCCTTTTGGGCAAAATCGATGGCCCTGGTAGTTGAGTAGTTGATTAGGTGTCCCTTTTGGGCAAAACCGATGGCCCTGGTAGTTGAGTAGTTGATTAGGTGTCCCTTTTGGGCAAAATCGATGGCCCTGGTAGTTGAGTAGTTGATTAGGTGTCCCTTTTGGGCAAAATCAATGGCCCTGGTAGTTGAGTAGTTGATTAGGTGTCCCTTTTGGGCAAAATCGATGGCCCTGGTAGTTGAGTAGTTGATTAGGTGTCCCTTTTGGGCAAAATCAATGGCCCTGGTAGTTGAGTAGTTGATTAGGTGTCCCTTTTGGGCAAAATCGATGGCCCTGGTAGTTGAGTAGTTGATTAGGTGACCCTTTTGGGCAAAATCGATGGCCCTGGTAGTTGAGTAGTTGATTAGGTGTCCCTTTTGGGCAAAATCAATGGCCCTGGTAGTTGAGTAGTTGATTAGGTGTCCCTTTTGGGCAAAATCGATGGCCCTGGTAGTTGAGTAGTTGATTAGGTGTCCCTTTTGGGCAAAACCGATGGCCCTGGTAGTTGAGTAGTTGATTAGGTGTCCCTTTTGGGGCAAAATCGATGGCCCTGTTAGTTGAGTAGTTGATTAGGTGTCCCTTTTGGGCAAAATCAATGGCCCTGGTAGTTGAGTAGTTGATTAGGTGTCCCTTTGGGGCAAAATCGATGGCCCTGGTAGTTGAGTAGTTGATTAGGTGTCCCTTTTGGGCAAAATCAATGGCCCTGGTAGTTGAGTAGTTGATTAGGTGTCCCTTTTGGGGCAAAATCGATGGCCCTGGTAGTTGAGTAGTTGATTAGGTGTCCCTTTTGGGTAAAATCGATGGCCCCTGGTAGTTGGACCACCGCCCACAGCCGCCCGTGGGACGAACTCCATTCTTTGTTGTTTTTTGTATTTGAACTCCATTTTTTCTGTGTTTTTTGTGCTTTCTTGATTTTTTGGTGTGGTGGGGTGGTGGGGTGGTGGGGTGGTGGGGTGGGGGGGTGGACTTCTTCGAGTTTGCTTGACAAGAACTTCTTTATTTCCTGTTTCTGTGGGGTGTGTGATGTTCTCTGTTAGTGTGCTGAGCTGTCTTGTTTTGCTGTAGCTTGGTGTCAGAAGATGTTCGTCTAGCGTTTGCCTTCATGGTCTTGCTGCGTTTGGCTGGCGTCTCGCATTGCTTCTCCACACACTCGGCGCTGGGTCCTTTCTTCACTGTTGGGCTGCCTTACTTGGACTCTCTTCTGGACGTCGCATGCCAACCAGCGGACCCCATCTTGTCCTTTGTGTCTGCTGTCACGGTATGCCCACATAGGTTTCCGCTTGACTTTTCGGCTTTAGGCGCCTACGTTCCTTTCTTGTGGTCCACCTGGTGTGCATCCTGGAGTCGTCATCTGCTGCGCCCTTGCTCTGCTTCCACCGGCGTGGCTTCTGCTTGTTGGGTCTTGTCTCGTCGCTTGTCTGGCTTACGTCTCGTCGCTTTGGGTGAAGAACAGACTAAGGACCCCTCCCCCCCGTCGGCAATTGAAAAGAGAGTTCATCATGCGGTTCCCAGGCAACATGCAGTCTTGAACATGGCAAAATCCTTGACACACGATAGTTGGGGGCTGGAAAAATGAGCGTGCCAGTGGGATTCGGGAACGCAAGAAATTCCCCACTGTCTCGGCCATTTTACATGAGGGACAAAATCCTTGACACACGATAGTTGGGGGCTGGAAAAATGAGCTTCTGACAGCAGCGTGCCAGTGAGATTCGGGAACGCAAGAAATTCCCCACTGTCTCGGCGCATTTTACATGAGGGACAGACGGGGCTCTCCTTGTCCCCCTGTAATCGCAGCTTCGACAGGTTGCTCCGAAGCCAAAAAACGAACGATATTACACGGGCTACTATGGGCCGTGTACCTAGTTGAGTAGTTGATTAGGTGTCCATTTTGGGCAAAATTTCTGGCCCTGGTACTTGAGTAGTTGATTAGGTGTTTTTGGGCAAAATCGATGGCCCTGGTAGTTGAGTAGTTGATTACGTGTTCTTTTCGGAAAAATCGATGGCCCTGGTAGATGAGTAGTTGATTAGGTGTCCTTTTCGGAAAAATCGATGGGCGGAAAAACCATGGGCCTGGCAGTTGAGTAGTTGGTTGGGTGTCCCTTTTGGGAAAAATCGATGGTCCTGGTAGGTGAGTAGCTGATTAGGTGGCCCTTCACGGAAAAATTGATGGCTCTGTAGTTGAGTAGTTGATTAGGTGTCCCTTTTGGGCAAAATCGATGGCCCTGGTAGTTGAGTAGTTGATTAGGTGTCCCTTTTGGGCAAAATCGATGGCCCTGGTAGTTGAGTAGTTGATTAGGTGGCCCTTTACGGCAAAATCGATGGGCCTGGTAGTTGAGTACTTGATTAGGTGTCCTTTCCGGAAAAATCGATGGGCCTGGTAGTTGATCCATTTGGTTGCCCTAAGGAGGTCATGGTCTTGTACCAATTCTGCCAAGCACCAAGCGTCGTGGCTGGTTGCCTTTAATCACCTTCCCTGGTTTGGCGCCGGGTGAGGTTAGGTTAGGTGTGCTTTCCCTGAAAGCCCTCAACAGCCAGGACACTCCCTCCAACAATCATGGAAGCTGAGAGAAGGGTTTTGGAAGACTACCTTCCTTTTGGGGAGGCCCCATCTCCACTTTCATTGTTGGAGGGAGGGTAAGGTAGGTCCTCCAGTAGCGAGGTTAGAATAAGGGTACCAACTTTTTTCTGTGGTCTATTCAGCAGGGGAACCCTCCCCCAAAAAAGAAACGGTGAGAACCTAGCGGGGGGACCTAGGTAAGGCTGTCCTGAAAGGACTCACCCGCGCTCCCTTAGTTACTGGTCCTCTGCAGTCTGGACGCCCTCATCCTCGGCCTCGTTTCCTCGAGCGCTGGACCGACAAGAAAAGAACCCGCCGACCACTAACTTGGTTGACGTTGGAAGGGGAGCGACCATTTTCCAATTTTAGCAGTTGAGTGGGAATTTCGACCACTAAACAACAACCATGCTAAGGGGTTGCCTGATTTAAAATCTGGTCTGCATCCAGGAAGACAATGGGCCCTTTTAAGAAACTGGGGTAATCTGGGGTTCCCAATAATTTAACGGCCACGCAACAAAAACAGGGCATGTTGACCGCGGAACCAACCGGGGGCCTGGTCTGCATCCAGGGCCACACAGGGAGTAGAATGTAGTACCAGGGGCCAAAGAACTACAAACCCCACTCTTCCATGATCATGACTGAACTCGGCTTAAAAGTACCCAAAGTCCCTTTCAAAAATCACTTGGGCCGTTATATATGATATAATTAGTGTTACTATGATATATATCTATATGTATATATATATATATGTGTATGTTATATATATATATATTATGTATTGCAGGGCCCAACTACAACAGGGACATCGCACCGAAACGTGTCTTGCTTTCTGATTGTCCAAGGCAAGCTCCTAGACTTGTTGCTTGCCACTAATGGCTTGGTTGCTGCAACGCCCCCTCTGTAAAAAGTAATTCTCCTTTTGTGGGTCCAATCACATAATGTCAACCAACAAAATAAAGTCCAAAGATCCAACCAAATAGCCATAAAGATCTGCAGATGAATAAACCCATCCCAATAGGGTGTCACACACACACTTTTGTGGTCCGAATCCCACCAAAAGGGGACACGCCCTATTAACAAATAAGCAATCAGGGGGCTTATAAAAGCAGGGTCAACAGTAAAACGGTCCAGGTCCAACAAAGGCTCAAGCCTAGCCCTCCATTTGCTTGAGTCCCCTGGAAAAAACAAACATGTTTCCAGTAGTGATAGATACCCTGTCAAACCAACAAGGAAAATAAGAAACATATTCTTAACAGAATTGAAGTAGCTGAATTCAAATTTGGGGGCTGCCCGCCTCAAGGCCAAAATGGCTCCGAGGCGCTTCGGGAGGCTGGATTTTGGTGCAGCAAAGCCAAGCTGACCTGGTCGCCCTGGAAGAAAAGGGAACCTGAAACTAGGTCCAGAGGTTAGAATAAGGGTGCCCGATTTTTTATATTATTTTTTTCGATAGTCTATTTTAGTAGGGCAACCCTCCCAACCAAAACAGTTGGCAAAAGGGCACCTGCAAAACCTAGGAAAGAAGAGATGGGGGGTTGCTGGCCCTTGAACAACTACCCCGCAAAACCGTCAAAATCATGGCCCCAGGGTGATCAAGGGGTTGAGAGGTTGTTTCGCTGCGAGGCCGCTTCGCACGCTTGGCCCCTATGAGTTCCGTCGAGGAACTTGACTCCGCGTAGCGGTGTCGAGAGCACCTTTTAGTCTCTCGTTGATTGGCAACAAAAACAGTCCCACCGCTTCTTGTTTACCACTAAAAAGGTCCAAACCCAGAAAGTGGCGATCAAGTCCGAAATGGAGCTCAGGGGTTGAGTTTAGAATTGCTTTGACAGCCACCAACCGAATCAACCCAGGGAAAACCAAGGGGGCACTCTTCATTTTCTGCGTTTCGTGGCGGGCTGCCCCATGTGGAAAAATTTCGCGTAGGTGCCCTTGGCCTCGATGGAAAGCCTGAATCATGGAGCGCCGAACGCAAATGAGGGAACTAGCGCCTGTTGAACCATGCCTTGACCATGCCAGACACGTGTCTCGTGGTGTTGTTTTTTTTTTTAGGGCGGAAGCCGCCATACGGGGTGGCTTCAAAAACAGACCGGTAGGCCTGGTAGACGAATGTACTTCCTCCAACACACAAACACACTCTTCTTGTGAGAGGCCACAATCTGGAAAATCGAGGACCCTTGATACGGCTAAGGGCACGTTGACATGCCCTCAAAGGACGGGCAACTGTCAGGTCCAAAAAAAAAGAAGCAACAGCAGCACGGGTATGTCACAACCAGGCAACTTGCAACGGTTCGCAAGTGGGGATCCCTCCCGAAAAAAAACAAAAAAAAGAAGCGTCAAGACCAACCAAAACGCCCCCCCCCCCCCCCAAAAAAAAAAAAAACGACGCCCGACTTTTTCCAATCGCTTCTTCATATCCTTTTTCTCGGGCCCCCTGCCATACCACTTGCCAGCTGACAACTTCCACGTCCCCTGGCGCTCAAATAGCAAAACCCGTGCGCCTGAGATCCCATGAGCCGAGCCCCCCCCCCCAAAGAGGGGATCGCGTAGCCTCAAAAAGACAGACAAAAGCACCAGGCTAGAATTAACATGGGAAAGATCATGGTCCGAAGGAATGACCTTTTGGGGGTTCTCATGTTCAGGCTCCAGGTCAATTTGTAGGGAGTGAAAATGATCGGCTTACAATATGGATTCTCTTTGAACATCCACTGCTCTTGAACGGCACATATGACACAACCACAAGCAGAGCGCCCCGCACGTTGCAGCAAGCCTACCTCCGAGACAAGGCTGACCGGCGATCGAAGGTCGCTGAGCAACAGATGCCCCTCATGAACACGTCGCTTCATCTACGACGAGGACACGGGTTGGGGGACCATGTTGACCGGGACAAACTGCCAGTCAGAACACTCTTGTTTATTAGCATGGGGTGTTCCCCTCCAACAGCGATAAATCCCACTAAAACCAGGGACGTGACACCCCCAATTTGCATAAACAGGCGTTTATCAATACAGTTTCAGTTGGCATTCCAAGAGGGGTGTGGAATGACGGCGCTTTTGACGCCTCCCCTTGGTCCAACCGCAAAGTCGGATTTGTTCGTGTGCACCTAACAGCTTCCAGCGAATGAAACTGCTGCGAGTCTGCAACTTGCGCTCATTGCAGGGAATCCCCTACTCCAACGACCCAAACTTCGGGGTATCATGTTAACACCTGACTACAGGAGGTTCACAATTATGGGCACGCACTTTTCATAAGGCCCCCCGATCATCCGCCTGAGTTCCGTCGCTCTTCTTCCACTCACTGGGGGTCCTGAAAGGAAAGAAAAGAAAAGGCAGAACGAGATCCAACCTGGAAGGGGGAATTAAGAAACAGAGAAAACACCAGGGAAGAAGGGGAAACCGGTTGCCTGAATCTGTCTGGAAGGGAGCCCTAAAGACCTATCGACAGTTTGCACGCATTTGAACCAAGGAAAAGAAGCTTCAAGCGGCAAACACGCCAGTGGCAAGAAGTTGTCAAGAAAGGAACCTTCAAGGGCATAGGTGGCCTTTTGGAACAAATAGATGGCTTTGGTAAATGGGGCATAACACAATCATGGCGGGGGGATCACTTTGGTCGCAGTTTTTGGATCACTTTGGTCGCAGCTGAAATCCACTCACTTTGGTCGTAGTTTGAGCATTTGCGGATCACTTCTGTCGCAATTTTTGGATCACTTCAGGCGCAGTGGAAGATAGCTTTTTGAGCACTAACAACAGGACACACGCAAAGGGTGTTGCCTCTCAAACACCTAACAACAAGACATGCCGCGTGGGGTGGGGTCGACAAGGATGTTGCCTCTCAAACACCTAACAACAAGACATGCCGGGTGGGGTGGGGTCGACAAGGATGTTGCCTCTCAAACACCTACCAGCAAGACATGCCGGGCGGCCTCTCAAACACCTAACAACAATACATGCCGGGCGGGGTGGGGTCGACAAGGATGTTGCCTCTCAAACACTTAACAACAAGACATGCTGGGCGGGGTGGGGTCGACAAGGATGTTGCCTCTCAAACACCTAACAACAAGACATGCCGGGCGGGGTGGGGTCGACAAGGATGTTGCCTCTCAAACACCTAACAACAATACATGCCGGGTGGGGTGGGGTCGACAAGGATGTTGCCTCTCAAACACCATAGTCAACGGCGAAGAAACTACGACCGAAGCGAGTACGGAAACTAGGACCGAAGCGAGATGAAAACTAGGACCAAAGCGAGCCAGCAACTAGGACCGAAGCGAACCCGCGACCCACAATCATTGCCATCTATGGTTAACCGAGCTCACATAACAAGGACACCTATGTTCAAGAAAATCAGCCACTCGGCCACCCATAGCTCATTGCCAGATGCAACTCGATGGGTTCGGTCAAAGGAAAAGGGAAGAGTCTGGGCTCGACTGTCCCTTTTGGGATTTTTCAGCCGGACGTCGGGTGAACAATCCCGACATGGAAACAGAACGGGTAGCTAGTCGGGAAGCTGCCTGGGAATGATCACTTACGAATCCAACAAACGGAATCCCTACAAGGGATCGCAACTTGCTCTGCCTCAGCTTGGCAATGCCGGGTTTCCACAGCGCCGTTTGACGCCAACCCAAAAAATGATGCTTGATCCCGGTCCATACGTAGTAAACCTTGCAAAGTAAAATTATTTCAGAAGCAACCCCAAACAAGTTGGTTGGTGTGGCAAGCTGGAACTTAAATAAGTGTCGTTCCTGCTCCAGCGCATAGATGTGCCTCATAGTACAACTTGCAGGTTTCTTCTTCGATTTCTCTTCAACCCAAACCCGCAACAGGCTACCCTCCAACAATCCCCTGACAATAAGTGGGTTTCCCGTGGTGTCCCGTTGCAACGACCCCAAAAAGGCCGGTTTCCCCTTCAAACAACCGCGCTTCAACGAGAAATGGATGCACGGATCTGTCCAGCGACTCTCCCAGCCACTGCCGAAGGTCTCAGAGAAGTAGACCTTGCCTGGGCAAGAACCCCTTGGATTTCTTTGAGTCTATGAAACCTGGATAAGCCGTTGTCTGCAACTTTTCAAATGTCAAGCTCAAGCCTAGAATGACCTGGAAAGAGAAGCGCTCTTTGATACGCAGGGATACTATCACTTTAGCCTCAGCAAGGATTTGAACCCCCTAAAACCAAATGGTGCGGGAGGTACTGCTGCCTGTCTGAAGCAACTGCAGCCAATGAACTGCCACTGGATTTTGCATCGTGAACTTATCCAGAGACAAACTCTCCCGTCTGCCGGCTTTTCTTGCTTGTGCGATAGGTAGGGAATGACAACGGTCCGGCTGTTGGGAATGACCTGGTTTTGGGGATTCGCGCAGAAAACCACCACAACTCACATCCTGAGTGGGGGCTGGCCAAAGGTTCAATCGTTTTATGAACCACTGAAATCCTTTTCCAGAAAAGCTGAAAGTACTCAGAAAGCTCGAGGGACTGTTTAAGTCGGGGTCCTTCCATGTCTCATTCCCTAGCGAACCAGCCAGGTTCAAGTCAGGCTTCGGAACTCTAAGAGGTGAAAAGCCGGCTCGGTCGGAGAGAACTTCGAGGCGGCTCCCGTTGAACTATCTAGTCAACTACATGTGTGTATGAAAATAGGGGTTCCCCCAAAAAGGGTGGTTTTCCATTCAATGGTTCCCTTTGAACCAACCCCACAAAGGCTACCCTCAGACTGCAGAATTTGACCAAGTGAAAAGCAAGAGCTCTACGCTTGAAAGCCGGGGCGAGATTGGGCTCGCAAACGGTGCCCATATGTCTCAGTCCCAAGATCTGCCTCAGATTCAAGGCCTGCAACACTTGGCGTTCAGGGAATGTTCGGCTCTTCGCAAGCAAAATGAGGGATCGTCACTCGGATCACGCAGAACAGGGGTCAACCCTCCAAGAAACATTGGGGAAAGAGGATTTCCCCAGACCAAATGAGGCCCAGCTGTCTGAACTGCTCAACAGAATCGCTTCAGTCAAAAACGCATTTTGGTGTCCGAGCCCTTCTGTCGGATGTGGAAGTGGTAGGTCCACATTGTTCCACCGGGGGATATTCAGGAAGGGAAAACCAACCCTCGCTAGCAAAGGCAACCAGGCAACCAGGCAACCAGGCAACCCATGTCGAGAGATTCCACCTAGGCACTAAAACACTTTTCTGTGCTTAATTCGCTGGCCCAAGCCGCCTCCAAAAGATTCACAAGGGAAGGGACCTGATTTTACTCGTAGCAAGGGCGTTGGCAACAAGGCAGCTCAATTGTAAGGCTCTAAGACAAGAATTCAAATCTTCGTAAGTTGGTTTGACCCTCCCTCCAATGGCATGTGCGGGTAGTTGCCATGCTTTTAAGAGTCTTTGTGCCCATTCTCCTTGTTGCTCATTCTATCGCCCCCAAAATGGAAGTTCATCGGGTACACTCTTGAATTTGTCAATTTCGGGAACTCTTCCTCCCATTAACATAGCATTTGTGGGAGGGTACCTCCCCAAGGGACCCTCTGTCAGGTGCCATGGTGGTTTCCAATTGCGTTCTCTCCCTCCTGCAGGCGACCCAGTCCTTACGCAGCCCCCCTGGAAGAGACAATCATATTTCCAGTAGTGAAGTCACTTTAAACGCTACGGGGAAAAATCAATATAGTATGGGTTTTTTTCAATAAAAAAGAGAGAGACATATTCTGAAGCAAATGGAAGGAAAATACAACATATCCTTAAGCAAAATGCAAGGTGGGAGGGAGCGTAAAGCTGAAGGCACCTCTGAGCTCCGCGCCACTCGCAGTGGCCAAGGCTCCCAGGCAGAGCGTCGAGCGGAAAGGCATCCTGGCCGCGGCGGTCGGCCGTTTGCTCGGTCGCGGCGGTTGCCGCGAGGCCGCGGCCGGAGAGGGGGAGAGCCAGAGGTGGCCTTTCTCAGTCGCCCAGTTTGGACCCAGAAAGGTGATCAGTGATCACCTTTTGAGGCCGTTTCTAAAGATAGACCAAAATCGGAAACCCAAAGGGTCAAAAGGGTCGGCTTGCAACTGAGCTTTCAGTTAAGAATAGACGGGTTTTCCCTGGCAAGTGGAATACATAAACCCCATCTAAACCAGATGGCCCGGTCCTTTTTTGGACTTAAACTACATGCGAGCTGTAGATGATGTCGCTGGCAGAGCTGGAAACTCTATCAATACTTCACAAATGTGCAACCGATCTCGGAACCACTCTCTCTCTCTCTCTCTCTGTGCTCAAATTATGTTGGCTGATAAACCAAATTGAAAGATAACAGGAACCGATGTGTGTGTGTGAGCTAAATCGTTCTGATTGCCCGCCCCCCCTGCCCCCGAATCCATGCTATGGAAAAAAACACCGGTTGCATTCTCGTCGCATATTTCAGTCACAAACCGAAAACCCTCGAGCTTGCGACGTCACTTGCCCGAACTCTTTGTCTCAACCTTCTTCCTCGCGGGTTAAGACCTGAGCGAAATTGGTATGTGACGATATGTGTCAAAATGATGGGACCCCTAAGAACGATGGAGCTCCTTCTTTAAAGCCCAAAGGCCGTGCTCCTAGAACCGACAAACACACACACACACAAACCTTGATATGGAACATCCTGCAGTTTCCCAAAGATCATGGGCTTGTCAGCCATGTTAGTTTTCATTCAACAGCCCAGCGTCTGCATCAGCCATGTTGGTTTTCATTCAAAGGTCGTCTGGTTGCTGAGCCACCCCTCGCCCCCTGCAGCTCGGGCCTTCCCAAAATTGGCGAGTCTTCGCACCGTGCGGGGCTGGCTGAGCCGAAGCCAGTCGAATGTGCGCATCCGCGCATATGGGCCATGGTCATGGTCCGCTCAGTGAATTTCTATGGGGAAAGGCATCCCGTTTTCTTCCTTCCCAATTCGAAGGGTCTACGACCGTCTACCATCCCGACCAAGTAAGCAAATCTTTTGACCATGGCACAAGTGGGCAACCCCACGCATTTCCTGGTTAGTGGTTGAGCACCTGCGCCAACTCCCAAAAGGATACCAGCTTCCATATCGTTCACAAATGGGCTACAAAGGGGCGAACGAACCCAGCTTGCACCTTTCTCTTAACATCAGCTGGAACAAGTAGCCAAGTTGCAAAATCTATCAGCTTTCTCTTAACATCGGCAAAATCGATTCCCGGGTCCAAGTAGCTAAGATAAGTTGCCCCCAGCGTTTCCTTACCGATCGTCGATGGCCAGGGCTTCTTTGTCAAGGACATCTGGTCCCAAGGTTTTAGGGAAGCTGCCTGGCAAAGCTGAACCGGAGACCACAGCTGGTCAACCTCCAGACCTTCGCCCAGCTTTGCGTAATTGACCCAAAACACATCGTGGTCCTCCAGATTCGAGAGGTTCGAATAAGGGTTGTTCTGTAGTCTCCCAACCAAAAAAAAGGAGAAAAGGGCACTACTGGGGGACCCAGTCAGAATTTCGGGACTCGTGGCCATCCACCTTTGGTTCCATCAACCTAACTCAGTCAGTTCGCCACATGACAGGGACAACCAAAACGGCAGAAAGACCAAAGCCTTTGGCCTTCAACGTCACCAAAAAAAAACACAAAAAACTAGAAACCAAAATCGCTTTGCGCGGGCCACCGTTTGCAACCCGGAATTCATGACTCGAGTTTGCACGCCACAAGCTTTGACAACAAGGATGACGGTTTAAACACCATGTCGACTCAACAGGGCACGACAATTGGCAGTCGGGGGCTCTAGGAAGCAGCCCAGAGTTTCACAGCAACACGCCAAGAACATGTTTGTGGAATTGGTACCTATATTGCCTTATGTATCACAGAATACCAAAGTGGTTGACGCAAAGTGATTTGTTTTCCTCCCTTTCTACGATACTAATTAGAGTCATTGATTCTCTTCTAGGTGCTCCAGTAGAGAGGTTCGAATAAGGGTACCCTTTTTGCTTAGTCTATTTTAGGTGGGGAACCCTCTCCCAAAAAAGGGTAAACGGGCACCTAGCCGGAAAACCTAGTCACAGAATCCGACTACTGGCCCCGATCTTGCCACCCGAAAGTCCTTTGAGAAGTTCCGCTTGGACATCTCCCACCAAGCTTTAGGACTCTCCACTGGATTTCCCCAAATCAAAAGTTTACCCTCCCACAAACTAACATGGAAGTGCAAAAGGGGCCCTTCCAAGAGGAAAGTAGTCTTTCTGCAGGGGTCTGTGCACTTCCATGTTAGCTGGGTGGGAATGTATCAATTTACTGGTTGCGTCCACGAAAAGCGATCGCCACTTTTGGAGGTTCCTCTACTCACTTCCTGGGTGGGGTGGCGGAAAAAAAGTCCCTTTTATGTACTACTAAAATGGTGCAAACCCTGAAAGTGACTCAAGTCCATGAACTCAGGAAGTGAGAGAAAGGGAAACGGCTCGGACACCCTGTCCCCATGAGTCGCGAAGACTTTTTCTTCGAAGCTTGTTGCTCGCTGCTCTGAGCAGCGGGGTCTATAAGCATCGGCTGATGCACCTGGCGTCGGACAAATGAACATCATATGATATGGGGTGGGGCCGTAAAATGGTAGTTTCTTCCTTTTGGTTTCCCTTCATATAAACCAGCGACTGACAACAGTTGTTTTCCTGTTGGTCTCCCTTCAAGTATAAACCTACAACTAGGGTGGTCCCTTTAACGCCTGTTTTGAGCCAAGCTTGGCGTACCTCAAAGAAGAAAGCTGCAATTTTGGCGTAGGCCATTGTGTTTTTGCAACAAAGGATTGCGATGATAAATTGCCAACAAATCTTCGTGGCCTCTTGGCCACCAACAAAAAGGCCGTGTTGAGTCATTCAGTAAACAGTTGCCCAGATCATGAGAGCAATGAAACAAATGCATTTGGGACACTACCCACATTCGGCACACGTCACTCATGCGTGAGTGTAAGCTGGTGTTTAGCCGACATCTCATGCAGGAAAATAAGCCCTCAACATAGCTGCCATGCGCCACCGCCGCATAATCATCTCATAGTCACTCTACTGCGCTATAACAACCCCCACGCGTTGTTGCTTTGTTTTCTAACATGTGCGAGCCGCTTGAACAATATCTGCCAATTACGACGTTGCCTGTGGTGTCAACTCCATTTGAATGTGGCGCGGGTCATGCTTGCTTTCGTCTGCAACACTTGGGCCCACGAGTCCATGATGTCAAACATATCCCTGTTCAGCATGAGGGGGGCAGCAAGAAGACGCCTTACCGCTTTGAATATGGGCTGTGACGCGCCATCCGACACAGGTTGTGGATTCAAAATATTTACATGCATATCTACTAGGCCGTTGGTACCACTTGTTTCGTCGCCTGCTGTTTTTTGCAGCCGTGGCCGACACGCGTCACCTAGTCATGACCCCTCATCCCGGAAACGTTTCCAGCGGGTCCAGGCTCCCATACTCCCCCCTCCCAACACCCCTGACCCCTAACACACCCTCCCCCTCGAACAGGTCCAGGCAGACACAGCCCCACCACCCAAACCACCCGGCCTCGAACGATCGCATCTTGCAGCGACGGCCACGGCCACGAGCGTTTCGTCATTGGGCGACACTTGGACCGTTTGGGGGGGATGTCCTAAACGCCCGGGGGGCTGCTAACCTCCCTGGACTACACATGCCTTGATACATAGTTAACCCTGCTGAGACGGTTTCAGGACAAAACAAATCTTCAGCCCGCTAGCTGAACCTCACCGAGTCCTTGCTCGTGCGAAAGCCGGGAAACAGTCTACGCACATGAATTGCCTACAGGCAAGGCAGGTTTGGTCATGGTTCCAAAACACACGATTTGCATTGATACGTTGATGCTAGTAACGGTGAGCATGTATGATAAGAAGTATGAGAACCAAACTGACAAACCCTGAAGTGCCCGGAGTTTAATCCTCAGAATCAGCATCATCGTCATCGTCGTCATCCTTGGAGTCGCTGCTGGCTGCTGCCTTGGCTTCCTCAGCCTTCTTGTCATCCTCCTCCTTCTTCTTGGCCTTCTCAATTTCACTCAGCGCCTTCCACTTTGCCACAAACTTGTCCGCCTCAGCCACATCATCAGTGATGATGACGTTGTCAAAAATGGTGTTGCCCTTGACCTGCCACAAGTCGAAGCCGATGAAACCAAAGTCATCATACTTGTAGAGGCTGTCGTCATCAACATACTCAGGGTTGGCAATCTTCTTGGCCTCCCAGAAGCCCTTGTAGGCAGGGTTGGAGATGCGCTTAATGGTCCACTCACCCTTGTACTCGGGGTTGTCAATCATGGGTGCCTCCCACTCGCCATCCTCCTCATCATCCCAGTCGTCTGGCTTCTTGGCGTTGGCATCAACGATTCGCTTCTCCTCCACCCAGCCATCCGGCTTCTTGTCCTCAGGATCGTCCATCATGCTGTCATCGACCCAGTCGCTGGGCTTCTTGTCATCAGGATCCTTGATCTCCTTGGCGGCCAGCATCTCCCAGTCCTCCTTCAAGGAGCCATCGTAGACCTGCTCCCCATCAATCTCCACCTTGGCAGTGTTGTCAGGCTTCAGGGTCAGCCTGTACACGTGCGAGGTACCCTCACCCTCCTGCTTGTAAGGCAGGTCGGTCTTCTTCAGCACGTTCTTGCCCTTGTAGCTGAAGATCAGGTGGGTGCGCTTGGTGTAGCCTCAGTTCAGGACCCGGAAATAAAGGTGATAGCCTTTTGGAACTGAACCTAAAAATGGGTACCAAACTAGGAAAACCAAAAGTTGCCATTTCAGGTTGATTCGGTTTGGTTGCAAGTGAGATTGGGTTTGTGGGCAGTGGGGCTACCTTCCATTTCCACTCTTTCCGGTCCAAATCTTTTCAGGAAATCAAACACCTAAGTGCCAGCTGGCAACCATCCTTTCAAATCCCTTGGTGGTAGCTTTCTCCCAGGACAACTATAATTCATTTCAAGTTATATTTCGGGTCGATTTTGGCGCCTTTTGGGTGGCGCCTTTTGGGTTGTGGGCAGTGGGGCTACCTTCCAATTGAAATCAAAAACTCCTTTCAAATCCCTTGGTAGCAAACTAGGAACACCAATTCATTTCAAGTCATTTCAAGTGAGTGGCCGCACTTGTCCGGGCCGAACATGATGTTGTAAGGCGTGGGGTCGCCGAAAGTCGTGGGATCCTCCAGCTTGGGGCCCACCTTGACGTAGCCGCCCCCGCACTCGATGTCCTTCTCGTACTTGGCCTATTGCCGGATTGGCGGATGCCCCGAACTCGGGGTTTGCAGTGGTGGAGTCGTGGATTGGTGGTTTGGTGGTTAATGCTTGTAGGGGGGGGGGAGGGGCCAATTCCTTGTAGAACTTATGTTGCTCGAAGGGTGGGTGTGGGGGTGGGAGTGGGGGTGTGGGTGCGGGTGTGGGTGCGGGTGTAGGGGTGGGGGTGGGTGGGTGGGTCTTTTGGGTACTACCTGGACATGCAAAGACGCTTGAAGTGTACGTCTGACTACATTTGTCCAGGAATATCTAGGATATCTACATGCGTATTCCCTTGTAAACTGATCCGCATGACGACGCATGCTCGTAAATCTATCCATGAGTGACTGTGCATGCCAATGCGTAAATCAGTTTTATACATGATGCAAAAGTATACATATATGTACATAGAATTTTATACACATGGACACATCTGCCTATACCCCAATAATACGGCTAACGGGACGACATATAGCACCATCAGTGCAGGCCTGGTACTGGATGATCAGCTCCTTGCCCGAGTTGCCTCGGCCGACACGTACTTTGCTCGAGGGGTCGCTTGGTAGGGGAAAAACGTGTCCCTCTTCATGTTCGAGGAAACCAGGCTCAGGGGAATTAACCCCAAGGACTTGCCCCTCGTTTTTAGTGGCTGATGTTCAGGGGAGTCAACCTCTAATAGCAATTGCCACGCAGGAAACTCTACCCAAGAAACTGAAATCCCTTCCAAAGAAGTTCCAGCAACCTGTTTAGCGGGTTCCTTGGGGATGGAATAATCGCAAGAAGCCATTCAAATGATTGATGCGACTTCTGCCGAGGGTGCTGTTCTAGGGGACCCCCCTTGAATAAACAAACATGTGGTTGTCCCTTTTAAAACAACAACAAACTGTACCCGCAAAAAGAGGGACCCCCAACGACAAGCGGTTTTCCCTCTAAAACAACAAAGTTGGGTACCAAGTCCAAAAACTCGGTTGACGTTGGAAGGGGAGCAAACAAACAAGGTTTAGCAGTTCAGTGGATTTGGAGTTCAACCACTAAATCACAACAAGCAAACATGTAAAATGCTTCCCAACAACAACCATGGAAAAGTCATCGATTCTCTTATCACAGAATCCGTCTAGGCCCCGATCTTGCCACCAGAAAGTCCTTTGAGAAGTTCCGCTTCTCCCAGCATGCTTTAGGGTACCAAGTGGCTGTGGGAGCCTCAAAAACCCGGAATACCAAAGTCGAACCTTGGCAAGTGGACACATGAACCAAAACCCGCGGTTTTTTTCCCCTCCTGTTGAATTTTGAGCCACAGCCAAGCCCAAAAAAGGACCCACTCCCTTTAAAAAGGAAAATGGGTCGACTTCTTTGTCAGGTTTTGTGTTGCTTGTTTCCCAACAAATGGAGAAAGACCACAGACCCTCCACCCCGCTCACGAAATCCATCTGCATCTCGGCCGCTAAAGGACTCGAAGTTGGCCGCCAGACCAAAGAAGCGCGAGTCCTACGCTTGCGCTAAGGCGCGAAGCACCGGACCATGACTTCCATTTGGTTAAGACCCCCGGGAAAAAAAACAAACACCTGTGATAGATTCCCTTTAAACCCAACAGGGCCGATGACCATGAGGATGTGGGTATGGGAAAAAACCATTCGTGGTCTAGTGGTCTAGTGGTTTAATGGAAACCCATGATGACCCTGACTCCGTTGCTTTCTGCGAAAAGTGATTAACTTTTAGTGGCTTAATTGAAAACCCATTCGTTGGCAAAAAGTTGAAGTCCCAACATCCAAGCAAAATGCACCAAAGAGTATGTGGGTACGGGTCAAAATTCGTCCTTTCCATATGCCAGGGTTCCATCTTAGGGTACCTTTTTGGTTTTTGACCCACACCCAGGTGTGTCGTTTCAAGGGTTCCCTCTTTGGGCTTGGGTTTTCTGGCCGGAAACCAAAGAGAGCGGCCCGCCATGGCGCCTGTGCTTTTGAGATTTCAGCTTTCTTTTTCCACCTTGGCATAGATGCACCTGTACTCTCAACCAAACCAAAAGGAACATGAAACCAAACAAACCAACCAAAGGAAACCAAACCAACCAAAAGGAACACCCCGAAATCCAGTTTGGGGGAACCCCTTACTAGAAAAAGGGCCCAGGTGTCGTGTTTTTGCGGCAGTGTCAGTTCCCCCTTAGTACTTGGTGCTTCGAAGCCCAGTCCGGGGGTCAGCTGCATTATACACCTGAACATTGCCTTGTAAATGGTGGTCTCCATTTATTTTGGTGGAAAAAGCCATGTTTCAAATGGTTGCAAGATGTATCTTTTAAGGAGCCCTGTTGGGGGACGCTTTTTGGTAAAGAAAGACAAAACCAATGCCAATGACCTGTCCGCCCGTTTTGGAAGGTCCGTTGCTTGAACATAGACAAGCCGTCATGCCCGGTTTGAAGGTGATCCCGGGTGTTGATTGTGTTTCCCATTTACCCGTACAAGAACCAGGGGTGTTGAATCCCTTAATTCCCACCAATCCAAAACCACCACAGGGTAAACTGGCATACACTTCTATTTGCTTAAGCCCCCTGGAAAAACTAAAAAACATGTCCAGTAGTGATAGATTCCCTTTAAAGCCAAGAGGGAAACAAATAGGCAATTAGAAGTGATTAGCATACCTTCCAGAAAAAAAAGAGCCTCCGTCTCCATCGGGCACCATTCCATTTGCACCAGTGAAGAAATCGGGCTATTTTTGTAGGGGTACCTTTCCCATTCTTTCCAGGGATCCTTCTTTCTAGAAAACCTCCGGAAACCCGGGGAAAACGGCCGGTTTTTGGAAAGAACGATGGTTGAAAAGAATGGGGAGTCAACCACTCGAATTTTGGGAACCAATTCACCGTGGAAGATTTTGGCTGTAAAACCTACCCTGTGAATCCAGGCGACTCGTGTTGTGGGTAACCAGCTATGTTCCTTTCTGCTTTCAGAGCGGATGGTTCCCCTTTTTATGTTTTTCTTTTTTTGTTTCTTTCCGGTTCTCAACAACCTGAAATAACATTTTGGCAAATAAGCTAACAGCGTGAGCTCGTGTTACCCCCAGAGCTTGTCATAAAAAAGCAAATCCGTTGAGCAGCTAAACTCCTGTTGGCTGAAATTGGAAGGGTTAACACAAAAGGACTCACCAACACTTCACTCCAGGTTGAGATGGACAATAATTTATGTGTGTGAAATGGACTTCTTTGTTGGCTTCCTTCTTTTGAGACTTTTTGGGGTCACTTCCTATTGCTCAGAAAAGAAAGTTCAGACTTACCGCTACCATTGCTATGATTTTTAATAGCCCACCTCCAAACAAAACCGCATAGACCCCGCTGCCATATGAGCTGACGTCACCTTGTGAACGAAAGGGGAGCCACTCATTTGGCTGTTGATTTTGTTTGAGTCGAAGCCACCAAAGAGGTTGCACACAAATCCCCGCCTAAATAAAAGCGCACCAGTTCGGATCCCCAAACTTCATACACGATCTGCCCAATTCGGAGTCCTGGGAAAGTGAGGTCGCAACCGGGGAACTCGCAATGAACGGGTTCAGTGCAATTGGACCGTCACTCGTGTTTTAAAGCGAAGCTCCTTTCGCATATTGCCTGAGAAACTCGATTCCAGTCTGGGGGCTGTGTGGATCGTTGCTTGTAGTTGAAACAACTGCTTCAACGATATGGGCTATTCAGAAACCAGCATGAAACTTGAAGGGGCTCCGGTCAATGTGCTCACCCTTTGCTCGAGATGTCGAGACAACAGCTTCCTGAACTTTGGCCTGTCGAGTGGGTTCGAGTATATGGGGTTGTCCTGTGGGGCTCTCAAAATTGCAGCAGTTCCTTAAGAATGGTTTGACCGCTGCATTTTTGGAAGAAACGCCTGAGGCCTTCTACTTGGATGTTCAAGCTACATAGAACGTAGGCAAAAACCATGATGAAAAGCGGACTAACTCATCTAACTGGGGTCAGTTTCCTTACCATGGCTAGGTCCTCCACTAAAGAGGTTTGAATAAGGGTACCCTGTTTTAGTAGGGGAACCCTCCTCCCAAAAAGGGTAACAGGGCACTACTGGGGGGCGTAGCTGGCTTACTTTCCGTCGTAGCTTGCACACCCAGCTGCCCCGCCAGAATCAAGACAAGCCTGCAATCCCCCCCGACCGCCCGTTCGATCTGTTTTTTGGCGGCGCGAGCCACGAGGCGTTTGAAAACATGCCCGTGGCAAACCGTGGCTCCAAGAGAGAGGGAATTGTCATCCCCCGAGGATGTACCGGCCCGAAAAAACAATCTATGCGGGTCGCCAAAACTTCAATCAGCCACAAGTTTTCCGGTGTATTGCTCAGCTTGGGTACATGCTCGGAGGAAGGTGAGAGGCAAAACGCCCCATGGGGCAGCAAAAAGGGGGCTTGTCCGAAGACTCGAAGCACCAACGAGCCCTGAAATGCTGGCTCCTCGCTCGGATGTCCCACGTCAATTTGGGATATTTGGTGTGGCTGTCGGTTTTCAGATCCGCTAAAAGTGTTCAACATTTAGTGGGGTGAAATGGAAACCAACCACTAAATACTAAAAAGCTAAAAAGCTGAAAAAGTTAAGGGGGTGGATGGCTGGGAGCCACCAAGCTTTGGTGGGGTGCCACCGAACTTCGGGCTGTGATTTCACAGAACGCTTGGAAGCTGCGCAAAATTCGGGGGTTAGAGAGTGCGGTGAATTCCTGGAAAGGTGCTTGAGGAAAGCATTCTCTCGACAAGTACCATTCATTGCATGAATCTTCAGAGTACCTCAAGCAAGGTTATGGCGCTGTGGCCCAAGGAGAAAGCTGCACAAGATCAAGCATCTGAAGCCTCGTGCTACGTGGACCAGTGACCTCATGGGGCTTTACGCTCGCCGGCCATTTAAGACATCGAGGGCCTAGGTGAAAGGGTCCCTCGTTTGACATGGTGGGGCGCGCCTTTCTTGGTTGACGTTGGAAGGGGAGCAGGAAAAAAAAAGTTTTAGCAGTTAAGTGGATTTGGATTTCAACCACTAACCCACAAGCAAACATGTAACATGTTTCCCAACAACAACCTTCTTGGCACAGGCCATCCAATCGCCGGCAGCAGAGACCAACTCGATATAACGCGATCCGATCCAGTCTCCCGGGGCGAGATACACTTGACTTGCCATCTTGGGGTATCTTGAGAAACATCCATCTATTTCTGCCCAAACTAAGTGTTCAAAGGGCGCTTGCCAACAACGCACCGTTTTGTCCCATGGGAAGAACGCCAACGATAGTGCCTACTCCCTATCGGCGTGCCGCCAATGAACGTCCAGCGGGGGGTTTCTGGGCATTTCCAGGTACCAGCACCCAGGTCCCAACCACTTCATTTTGGTTACCGTGCCGTACGGGGATGTTGGTTAGGTTGAGAAACGCAGCTGCAAGTTGGAGGGTGCTGCAGAAGCTGCAAGTTGGAGGGTGGCAGGGAACAAGCCGAAACACAAATCAGTTCCAAGAGTCCAAGATTCCAAGCTACGGAAGCGCTCCGCTTGGCTTGAGACGCAAGTGATCCCTATTTTCGGGGGGGGGGGGGGATTCCTCTTCCATTCTTCTTTTCAAAAACCTGTGTTTCCCCTGGGGTTCTGAGGGTTTTCTGGAAAGAAGGATCCCTGGAAAGAATGGTTGGAAGTATTTCCAAGGAACCTCCGTTGGCCAAAACAAGTCCATGTCTTTGTTCACTAACACCATCTAACACCTCACCGGTTGTTTCGGGGACCTGAAAGCAAAGGCTTGGCCCATTGGCCCTTTGGGACCTTGACAAAGCAATTCGCACTTCCCGGGTGGACTGGCAAAAAGAACAAGCCGCTGTTTGCCGCTCGAACTCGAGGAGGGAGATTAAGGACCACTCCAAATTGCAGAAAATGCAAAGTTGGATGTTGATTCCCCGCGAGTGGTTTTTTTTTTGGGGGGGGACCCCACAAACTTGGTGGTGGTGTCCTTTTCGTTCCCTTGAAACCACCAACAAAAAGGGATACCCTACACAAAAACAAGATCTACTCGAGTGGTGTTCGGCTCGGATCCGCTTTCCTACGCAAGGCACGGCCACGAATTTCCGCGCGTTTCGCCTGCGTCTGACGAATTTCCGTGCCCGTCTCAAGAGGACAATTCACTCCGCACGTGTGGCCACGAAGATGTGCCACTTCCTAAGTTGCAAACGGATACGCAACCCACTCGCCTGCCCAAAGAACCTGGAAGTAAAAGGTTAACCAGTTTGCTCCTTGACCAAAAATGGACGAAACATGGGAAACCCAAAGGGTCCAGGTCGATTCGCTATGCAAACAATCCACCCGCCAAAAACCCACGGGATTTGGCATAAAACCACCCAAAACCCAGAGGGAGTTGGCAGAAAACACCCACCAACAACAAAAAAACAACGAGAATCTGGCACAAACCACCATAGATTCTCGCCCTTGACCCGCTTCTTGGCACCCCCATCCCATTGCCTGCCTATTTTCGAGAAGAGTGGCAGGTCCCC